GCTCTGCCGAGGACAGAATCGACAAGAGCAGTGTCGACAGCGATGCCTCGAGCTGTTCGGCGATGGCATGGGTGAGTTCGTCGAAAGCCTCTGGCAAGGCGGATAGAGCGGGAAGCGTGGACAGTGGCAGCGATGAGGAAGGTTCGTCCCCGTTCACGTGGCCCGTATCCAGATCTCCATGAAGTTCCCACCACCGCACAACGTCCTCCAGACACCCAAGGCCCGCCGCCCAGTCCCCGTGGTCGACAACACTTCGGGCGATCCGTAGCATCTCCTCGAGTTCTCCCATCGTCCGCACGCCGTCCTCTGTCATTCTCAACACCCGCAACTTTTCCTGCGCGTCGATAATGTCGAGCCCTTTTCGAGCCTGCTTTGAGCCCACCTCGGAGAGAGAGCTTTGCAGCTCTGATATCCGCGACAGGCACGATGCGGATTCCGAGTGGAGGTCTTGCAGGTTTGAGAGCGCTGAGAAGAACGAGGTGGAACGGAGGGTGATCTCGTGCACAAGATGGCGTTCTAGCGTGTCTAGGTGGGTCGATAGGGCGTCCTGACCGGGCGTGTCCCTCGGTGATGAAGGCCCGGCATCGTGGACGAGCTCGGCCCAAGTCGACGGGTTGGCCAGGTTGAAAGAGGTGTCGAAAAAGAGCTCGGGAACGGAGTCGAGAGGCGGGAGATCGGCCTTGCGTGTCGATGGTGGTCTCGAGTCGTATTCGCCGGTGAGAGGGACGGTGGACGATGACGACGAGGCCTGTGCAGAAAGAAACGAGTCGTAGAGCGGGGTCACGGCTTTGAGGTAGGAATCGTACGCGGATGGTGGAGGAGGTTTGGGCAGGTTCGGCGGCGGGTTCGCCAGCGGGGGTAAGGGTTTTCGACTGGAGCGTAGAGGGTTTGCCTTCTTCGTAGGGTGGTTCAACACGGTGGAGATGGCTGCGAAGGTCAGCTAGATCCATGGGAGCGAACGAGCTCAACTCGCCGTTGAAGCCTCGTCGGTCCACGCCGTCCTCGGCCCGGGCATTGACGTCGAGCTTCCACGATACGAGATTGAGGACTGAAGCGTCCGCCACGCCGGCGTCCCATGCAAAGTCGACCGAGGTGTCGAGCACGCTAGGTGCGGTACCATCCAGCTCGGAGAGGTAGGACTCGGACGGAGGGGGTGAGGATGGTACGGGCGTGGGTGCGGACGACGGGCGGACCGAAGTCGGCCGCGACATGGCGGCGGCGCGGAGACTGGGATTGTCCGGCCGGGCTGGATCTGGTCGTACTGGTTTAGGATGGGGGCATAGGAGAGAGATGTGAGGAGAGTTGAGAATCGTGTAGCTGCTACACGACTACTGCGCCGAGACCATCGGTCCGCGACGACAGGAGACAGAGTGACGATTGTGTACGTAAGCCACTCGAGCCCAGGGTGCCACATTCAATGGCTTTTACACGTCACTCCTACACCTTCCAACCCGATAAATTTGGTTCCGGTCGCGTGATCCCCGACTCGTCGCTGACTGTTTTTCGGCTCGGACCTCGGACGCGACCACCGCCAAAGATTTGCCGTCGAGGACATCATCATCGCAATATTCCTCCAAGCCTCAAGGGCTATACAGCTCCCCTACTCACCAACCCCCACCCAGCCCTCCGCGACAGCGACAGCGTCGAACGTCCGAAGAGTGAGCTCCCACTGGAACCGGTGTGCGTCACGCTCGCTGACACATCATCAGTGTGCGGTATCCTAGGTCTCCTCCTTCACGACCCCCTGTCGACCCAAACGTCGGCTGCCGGGACAGAGCTGTACGCGGACTTTCACCCGCTCGGTGTGACTCGCTGACCAAGGCTCGCAGTGCCGAGGGTCTGTCGCTGCTTCAGCACCGGTGAGCAGGGTTCCGTCGCGGCGATGGCGTGGTCGTCGGCGCGGTCGTCTGACGATTCTTAGTGGTCAAGATGCCGCCGGTATCGTGACCTGCGGGTCTGGCGGGAGGTTCTACCAGGTCAAGGCGAACGGAATGGTGCGGGACATCTTCGACGCGCAGGCCGTCGCGGGGCTCAAGGGGTGGATGGGTGTTGGACACGGTGAGTGGAACGGGCTGCGACGTGACGTCGTGGCTGATCCGGACCAGCGCGATACCCCACCGCGGGTAGCTCAGCTCAGGCAGAGGCTCAGCCGTTCTACGTCAACTCGCCATACGGCATCGTCTTTGCACACGTGAGTGACACGTCGCACGCATCGACTTTTGGCTGATTCGCAGAACGGCAACCTCATCAACACCGCGTCCCTCCGGCAATTCATCGACGCCGAAGCGCATCGACACATCAACACGGACAGCGACTCTGAGCTGCTTCTGAACATCTTTGCCAACAACCTGCAAAAGACCGGCAAGTTTCGTATCAACGAGGAGGACATCTTCACCGCCATCAGCGACCTCATGAAGACGTGCAAGGGGGCATACGCTTCCATCGCCATGCTGGCGGGTTTCGGCTTGATCGTCTTCCGGGATCCCAACGGGATCAGGCCTTGCGGTCTCGCGACGCGCGCTGGGGCTCGAGGCGGCACCGACTATCTCGTCGCGTCGGAGAGTGTTGTCGGGCAGGGTCTCGGCTTCCACGGATGGGACGACGTCAAGGCGGGAGAGGCGATCATCATCACTCGGAACAAGATCACGCGGAGGATCGTTGGCCAGCCAGAGGTCCTCGCCCCGGACATCTTCGAGTACGTCTACTTTGCGCGACCCGACTCGACCATCGATGGCATCAGCGTGTACCGCTCGCGCATGGCGATGGGAGATCTCCTCGCCGAGACGGCAAAGAAGGAGCTGGCCAAGGCGGGGTTGAACGTGGACGTGGTGATTCCGGTTCCGGATACGTCGCGTGTGGCGGCGCTCCAGTGCGCCCAGCATCTGGGTATTCCGTATCGTGAGGGTTTCGTCAAGAACCGATACGTCGGGCGGACGTTCATCATGCCGGGCCAGTCGCAAAGGTGAGCAAGACTCAGGCGGGTCCCGGCTGACAAGTCAGGCGCAAGAACGTCCGGAGAAAGCTCAACGCGATGCCCATGGAATTCGCCGGCAAGGTGGTCATGCTCGTCGATGGTGAGTCGTGGATAGATACCGACCCGTGCTCATCGCCAGACTCCATCGTCCGCGGCACCACGTCCAAAGAAATCGTGCAAATGGCAAAGGACGTCGGCGCGAAAAAGGTCATCTTCGCCTCGTGCGCGCCCCCAATCCGCTTCCCCAATGTCTACGGCATCGACATGCCCTCGAGGCACGAGCTCGTCGCGCACGGGCGGACCCAGGCGGAAATCGCCCAGGAGATCGGCGCGGACCTGGTCATCTACCAGACCCTCGAGGACCTCGTCCAGAGCTGCCGGCAGTTCAACCCGTCGATCCAGGAGTTTGAGTGCTCCGTCTTCACCGGGAAATATGTCACCGGCGGCGTCGACGAGCGATACCTCGAGCACATTGAAAAGTTGAGGAACGACAATGCAAAGGCGAAGAAACTGCACGGCAAGGTGCAGGAGCAGGAATTCCTCGTCGAGGGCTGCAGCGGGCCGATGAGTAAGCGAAATCCCGTGTGTGCATCACCCCGCGCTGACGACGCAGACGGCTCCGACTCGTTGATCGGGTTGTCAAACCACTCGCCGAAAGTTGGGCCCACGGCGATGCCCAGCCCCAACGATATGGTTGGTCTCCACAACTCGTGGTACGGTTCATAGACGGAATTTAGACGGCGGAAGTGGGGGTCAGTTCAAGTGGTGTCCAATCTGCGCATTCATCTGGTCATATTGTCATTTTCGTTGCGTCAAGAATGTCATCTGTTTAGTCGTACCACGGCTGGGATTGCGCGAGTCGTCGCGATGGACTGTTTGAGGGGAAGCTTTGTCGCAGGCCGTGCAAGAATACACCGAAACGACGAGGCGTGGCTGTATGCGGCGGCACTTGACCCGTGCTCTGTGTCAGGACTGAAGAGCACGTGGGTGGGGATTGAGACTGCACCACCTCGTGACGCCAGAGCGAGACATCCAACAGAGAGAGAGGCGCAGCTGTGCTCGGACTTTACGCTGCCGCATCCCCTAGGGGACGTTTGAATGAGCGCCTTTCCCGGACAGTAGTGGGAAGTTAGTAGAGGCAGAGAATCAACACTGCCCACCATGTGAACCTGGCAAGGTCAGACGTAGACAGTTTCCTGGGGAGAAGGCACTCGTGCTGTTGCACTGTACTCTCCGCAGTCGGAGATCGAGACTTTGCAATCGTCACAGGTTTGTAACGGATGGTGCAGCTCGTCGGGTCGCAGGAAGAGATACAAGATACAAGTGCGCCCATGCTTCAGCCTTGATTTTGGCCTTGGAAGTCGGTGGAAGAATTCACCCTGCGCGGTCTAGTGGCCGCTGGTATATACTGTCGATGAGACCGATCGGCTTCTAGCCTTAACGACGGCCCCGATGCCAGGCCAGATGATACTTCTAATCTTGCTCCGAATGTCCGACAAGAATGTGCACACGGACTGGTGCATGGTCATGGTGGCCTCGAAGCCGACAGCGGCCTGCGCCGGCGCGGCGCAGGCGAGTCGAGGAGGCGTGGATCTTCTGGGCTCAATGTCTGCGCGGTGCCATGCCACAGTATGCTGTTAGTCTGGGCCCGGGTTTTCGGATGCGCACTCGGCTTGGTAAACGGTACTATTTGCCGGCAGGCGGAACCGCACTGGTGACGGGCTAGTGTGGCGTTGTTGGGGTCATGAATGTGGCACCGATTGAATCACGGTACAACTGCTGTCATGACCTCGTTGGGGGGCTCCATTTCGGTTTTCATAGACTTAAATGGGCATGTAGATGAGACGGGCCTCTGAGATCGAACATGGGTTCTCAATACTATCCCGAAAACTCTTGCATGGCCCCGGAGAGCAACGGCAAACCCGATGGAAGCGACCAAAAAGGCGACCGTTTCTGGGTACTGGCATACCAAGTCTGAGGAGTGAAATTCTTCGCTGCCAGGGCCCAAAAAGAGTGAATCCTAGAATGGTCAGACCCGGGATTGAACCAGGGACCGCACGATGATGTTCTGATTGAACTTCAGTCGTGCGCTCTCCCAACTGAGCTATCGAACCACCGAGGTGCTGTTATGACCAACATAAGCGCACCAGTTATAAATCTACAAATTTGCTTGAGCGCCACACTCGATTTTAATTTCGTGTTCGAGTCTCGGAAGCAAATTGTTTCGGATTGGGCTCACCCCCCTCAATACTTCCCTCAAGCACTCAACCTCGCGGTCCCCTTGGTCCAATCCCGGGTCTGACCATTATAGGATTCAATGTTTTTGGGCCCTGGCAGCGAAGAATTTCACTCCTCAGACTTGGTATGCCAGGACCCAGAAACTGTCGCCGGGCGCGGAGCGCCAGCTCCCATTTCGTGGCGCCTCGGCTTCGCCGCTTCGCGGCTTAGCTTCGACGCCGTCGTCGCCATTCCTCGTATCCCCGTCCACCTCCACCTTTTACTCACTAGCCTGCTTTCCCAATTGTCCATGTCGAATACCAAGCTTGGAATGGACTCGCAGAGGGGATGGGAGATGGAAAGATTCCAGGTGGCTGACTATGGCGAGTCTGGGAACTGGGGAAAGTCAGGTGGCTGTGCCACCGCCCTTGCCAATCGATGTGCTGCTGAGTGCGCCAAATCCGTCAAGAGCAAAGGCACCCGGGAGGATTCGAGAAGTCACAGGAACTGATCACTCAGTCTGAGCGGCACGACGGCGGTTCGATGTACGCGCTTCCGCCGCGCATCTCCACGCCGACCTCACCTTTCCTCGCACATCCCTCCCCTTCACTCTTTCCTTCACTCTTTCCTTCTCTCTTTCTCTCTGACTCTGTATGGCTTCGCCTTTCTTTCTCGATGTTGTTCTCTCTGTCTTGCATCTTCCGTCTTGTACTTTCTACCTGCCCTCTTCCACTGTTCCCTCCTTGTGCTTCCCCCCTCCCCTCGATCCCCCCTCCGGCCTCTTCTGCGAGAGTTTCTTGTCCGCCAACTCATACTGAACCCGAGATTGCAGCAGCAACTTCGCAAGCTACTCAATTCTGTCTATATGTCAATCTGTGTTCCGCTGTCCTCTCACAGCGATGTCCACCTACGTACTCTGGTGCGTCGCCGTCGTCCCGGAGCTCGCTGGCGTGACTACATACAGTATGTGACTTCATTTTTGCCGAAACGAACGACTTCCGCCCTCCTGGAGCGAATCCTTGCTGGAAATACACCCGGCGCCTTGGCAGACCGTTGGAGAGGGCGGAGTACTGAACTTCCGAGGTTTCTCTCGACCTTTGGTGCGCACGACCAATGTTTGGATATCGTCCTTCGGAAATGCTCGGACAAAGGCCTGTCTCAATATTTGACGCATAGAGGCCGGCGGTAAGGGTACCGGCAGCGCTGCAGCAGTACCGGCGACATCCCTTCTGGGAGGGCTCTACTGCGAATTCTCTGTCCAGCCAATGTTTCATGCTGGGAAGAAGCAACGGCTGGGACGCGATGATCGAGTTCCCACTGCCCACCCTCCGTCCCGAATAATGTCGGAGTCTGCTCAATCCACCGTAGACGAGGGCCAGCAAATTTCGATGCCTGCAGTAGATGCGGGAGGGAGTGCGTGGCCGGGAGATATGCGGCCATGAGCTTTGCACGAGACCACTTTGTATATAGTGGAGTACAGATAGAACATGTACTGTACAGCACGTTCATACTCGTCCGTGCCCCAAACCTTCAATAGGCTTCAGAAATTCATCAGTATGTGTGGACGAAGCAGAAGCAGTACCGAACTCGGCACGGCAAGCCTCCCCCCCCCTTTCTTGGCTTGCCAAAACTACCGTGAGGAGCATACAGCACACCACTCATGCAAGACGTGTATTGCACCTCATCATGCAGCTTCACCGGCTCCGTTGTCGGATTCGAATCTCAGATCGATATCGACGATATGACTCCCGTCACCAAGACTCAAACGCCTCGGCATCGACTGGGAAAGCGAGACCTCTACCGCATTAATGCCTCTTGCCCAGACGACGGATGCGGTGCGAGTCTCGATAACCTCGCCGTCTAGAGGAAAAGGGAGCGGGATCCTTGACGCCTCTAACTTGATGGAGCTATCGCTCCTGGGGGACCAGGACAACGTCTCCCACCCTTGTCCGCCAACCTTGCCCGCAATGTCATCGAGCAGCTGAGACATGCCCACCGTGAAATCCTGGCAACGGCGTCGACCGGGAAGAGTTCCTTCAACAGACCAACCTTCCTCGGGCGGGCGCTTCAGTAATGCAATTGACAGCTTGTACGATTCGCCCTCGGGCGCAGGTGTGATTTTCACAAGTCGGGCGGATTCGAAGTCGTGAGACGGCCTCCAGGACCTGACAGCTCTGTCGACACTCTCCGTGGACAGTATGGACCGAGATGCGAACATGCTGATTGCGTAGAGATGGAGGAAGATATCAGCTCTGAAGAAGTTGGGGGTCTCGGGGGTCCGGTTGTCAGTTCATATATGCCCTGTAAGCGATCGTTTGGGTATAATTTCTTTCATTGGACAACTCCGACGACCTCTCCTTTGACATGCGCACCCCCCCTACCGACGGGGAAGAACCCTGAACGAATGCCGAAAGGTGCGAAGACTGAGCTGCAGTACTCATGTAGTGCCAACCTTTCAGCGGCTGCGGGCGAGTACAGTGCGATTCCGAATGGTTCCAGTCGTCCTTCCGGAACGACGATTCTGATCCATCACCATTGTACCGGAGAACATCGGTGCAATGTCATGCCTTCCAATTCCCCACCGTGACCCCATTTCTCCGCCGTCATCCTCATGGACCCATGTGTGAAGACGCACTACGTCTCCGACAACCACTCCGAGTTGGCCAAGGAGCACGAAGACAACTTGACGGTTCTTGAGCTGTGTTTCAGTCGTACCCTTGCCTGCTGACGTCAAGTCGGTGTCATCTTGGATCAGCCGTAGAAAGGATGATTGTGACCGGGGTCTTCGAGCTCTCCTTTCAACGAGCTCGGTGCGAGGAGGCAGGACCTCAGAAGGCAGCGCTCCACAGTCAGCGGAGTCAGTCTTCGCAGGTGCGGTGGTGCGAATACCAGAGCTCTGCATGGCGGCCTGCTCGACCAAATGCATCCGATGCCCATACTCTTGAATGATCTACTGGAACTCGGGCAAGCAGAACTCGCCAGGTCCGTACGGCTGCGACGGCGTCAGCGCGGTCCTATGTGATTCTAGATCGCGAAAAGCTCACCTTGCCGGTGAGTCTACAGGCAAAGAAGAGGATCATGTCAGCGACACGCCGCTCTGACAACTGTCAAGACCGAGATGGGAGGATTACACTCACGTCGTTAGACCAGCCGAGTTTTCAGAGGTTTTCCGGCCGGACTGGGGGCCAGGCTGAGGCTTCTCGCCCTTCGCGAGCGCGTTGAGAATCTTGACCGTCGTCTCCGGGGTCAGGTCCTCGTAGTACTCATCTCCGACCTGCATCACTGGCAAAGTCAGCGACGCCACCCCGGATCAAGCCGAGGTTAAGGGAGGTAGCTCCGCGCTCGACTCACTCGGTGCGTTCGAGCACGCGCCCAGGCACTCCACCTCGATGAGCGTAAACTTGCCGTCCTTCGTGGACTGCCCAGCGTGGATGCCGAGATGGTTCTCGATCGTCTCGAGGATCTTGGTGGAGCCGCACCCACCGAGCTGGCACGGGGTGGTGGTGCACAGCTGCAGGAAATTGGGCGCGACGGGCTCCCGGTTGTACATGGTGTAAAAGGATGCGACCTGGCGGGGGACGTGGGTTAGCTTGGTCTGCGCCTGTACACTGCTCGGAAGACGTGGGATGGGATCGTTAAGGAGCGGTGGAATAGAGGTTGGTGTCGGGGGTGGAAGGGAGGGGTGGGAGCAGATGGAAGAGGAGCGGGACATTGTGATAAATGAGAGGGAAGAGACGGGGAGGGGAGAGAGAGAGGAGGGAAGTGGCGGGACAGATGTTGCAGAGGGGAGAGGGGGGGAAGACATAGGGGAAGTGGTGGAGCGGACATTGGAGACGAGGTGCAAGGTGATGGTTCGCCCCGCTCACCTCGTACACCCTCATCGGGGGCATCTCCAGCAACTTCGCCACGGCGTTCATCACCGAGATCGACGTCCAGCCCTTGTTCTGCCTCTGCCCCAGGTCCAAAACCGGCATCACCGCTGCCTTCTTGTACTGGGGCGGGTATCGGCTGATGATCTCGTTGGCGCGCTTGAGGTTCTCGGCGTCGAACTCGAAGGGGATCTGCGCGGAATCAGTGGGCTCTCGCAATCCCGCTCCTGAGTAGACACAGCCAGCTCTTCAAGCAGACGATGACAGAGACCCTCCACTCACGCTGGGGTTGTTGTAATCGGTATCCCGGTGCTGCAGATGTCAGTGCATCGCGAAGAAACGGTGGAGACGACCCAACGCACCACGAAGAGGGACTCGGAACGGCGGGAGGAAGACGAGGTGAAGGTCCGTCGTCCGGCGAGGGCGGACCTTCGCAGAGGCGCGATGACGGAGCGGACGGCGGACATGGCGCGGGGGTCGTGAGTGATGAGGAGGAGAGGGTCGAGAGGGGAAGAATGAGGTAGTGAATAGCAAGCAGCAACCGACGAATCGAGCAACGATGGTTGGCTAGAGCTAGAGAGGTTGGGGGCAGGCGAGACACTAAGAGGGGGGAGCGTTCAACGATCAAGGTTTCGCGCTCCAATTTTGCTTCCGTCCCACTCGTTTAGGGCCCCGCAAAACAATGTCGATGCGGAAAGACGGTTGGACGATTTCGATCGTCAACTCTGTCTACTACTCTTGTCCTACACAATCCCCTTCACACGCCCCTCTCCATGCCACCCTTCACCGCGTCGTCCCTCCGGAGCCGATCTCTCCCCTTGCTCACCGCCTCTGCCCTCTCCCTGACACTTTACACCGCCCACATCCACCTCCGCCCCGTCCTATCCGACGACACCCTCCCCGATGCCGATGCCCCCCCATCCAGCAAGCTCCGATCGGATCTCCCCGCTTCCCTCGCACCTGTAAGCCCGTACGTGCCTCTAGGATGGGGGAGCAACCGCTACCTCACCCTCTTCCCGGACCCCAGC